GGTGCCCGTGGTGGGCGCTGTGCAGACAGGGCTCTGCCACCCAGGTGACTGATTCCTCACCCTGCTCCTCTCACCCTGAGCTGCCACGGCTGGGAGAGGGCACAAAATGACTCCTGGCTCAGTGAACAAGGGAGCCATGGGATGCTGCTGGGCCTGGCAGGCTGGGAGGAGAGAGGGCAGCAGGTTTAGGAGACACCGTGAACACCCCCTGCCTCCTTAGGGCTCCTCTGGGGCTCTGGGATCGGGCTCAGTGCAAACATGCTTCGGCAACAAGTTTTTCCTAATCTGTTTCTTACAGCTGAGCTGGAAGTGAGACCTCCTCCAGACACCATCTGGTACCTTTGGGCTGCCCGAGCCAGAGACGCCACTCGCTGCCCCCGGGGACCAGCCCTTAGCTGTGACGAGAGAATTGCTGCCAGCACCAGTGGAGGCAAGCAGAGCCTCTCTGAGCTAGCCACAGCCCCCCTACCCTCCCCAGGGCCCTCAGAGCTGCACCCGGGCTGGCTGGTGAGGAGGGGGTTCCCCTCTGGGAGTGTGACCCCAGGGTCTCCGCAGGGACTCCTCTGCACCGGCATCTTGTCTTCCCTAAGGGAACATCTGGGGACGCCAGTCCTTCCTTGTGGAGAGGCAAAGCAGTTTTCCTCAAATCCCACCCTGCTCCTGGGAGGAGCCCGTGTGCCCTCTCCCCTCTCCCTCCTCCCTTTCAGCATTTCCCTCTCTCCCTTTAAGAGCAGCAAAGGATCTAAGGGCAGCCCATGACCTCAGTAAGGCCAGGATGGTGCCAGGGGTTGGTGAGAGCAGGGACAGGGATGGCCAGCACAGCTCAGATCTGCCAGCCCAGGGCTGCCCGCAGGACCCTGAGGAGCCTCACCCAGGGGAGGGCACAGGAGAAGGAAGAGGCAGGTAGGAGCACCCAGGTGCATGGGGTGAACCCCAGCTGTGCTACCCGTGCAGCCCGGGCTGTGCCACCACGGAAGAGAGCAATACACAGCAGCTGCTCCCCACTCCTTGCTCTTCTCCAGAGCTGCTTCCTACCCCCGTGCCCGTCCCCTGCCCATCCCTGCCTGCTTGCTTGCTGTCTAGTGCTGCTGAGGCCGTGCCCAGCTGAGGCCTGGCTGTGCCCAGCTCCCTGGGCGTGCTGGTGAGCGCCGGGGCAGGCGCAGAGCCCAGCGGCAGAGCGCGGACGCGGCTCGAGTCTCATTTTTTTGTGAACATTTGTAGTTGTTTCCACAGCTTGTCGTCAAAGAAATTCTGTTAAGGGAAAAGGAAAAAAAATGGGAAGAAAAAAACCCCTATGAAAAGCAACAACAACAACAACAAAAAAAAACAAACCCAAACAATCTTATCATCCAGGAGTGTTCCTCTGTCTGCACAATAAAACCCTACCTAGGTTGTGTGTTGGAGCCATGGGCGCCCGTGTGTGCGGTGGTGGGGACAGGGGCTGTGTGGGGACAGCGGCTCCTGCTGAGGGGTACAGCCCCCCTGCACCCCCAGCACCCCAATGCCTGTGAGACAGAAGGAGGCAGAGGGACAACACTTGACTTTCCTGGGCAGGGCCACCCCCTCCTGCCCACCTGGAGCGTGGCCCCCTGCATGGGGACCCTTTGTCTCCATCCCTGTCCCTAAAGCCCCGCTCCATCCCAGAGGACACCCATTGCCCTCGGTGGTGGCAGGGAGGCAGAGCAGGGGACAAGGTCTGGTCCTGGCCTATCCATCCTCTGGGGAGGGAGTTGCCAGGGATGGAAGTGGCCATGGGAGCGGGGCTGGGTGTGCCCGTGTCCCAGAGCTCCTGTGCCTGGCACACCAGGCTCCTGCTGGAGCCCCTGTGCCCACACGCTGCCGGGGTCTGCCAGGGGTTCCCGTGTGCTCCGGAGCAGCCATACCCAGGGTTAAGGTGCCACCCCGGCACCAGGAGCCACCAGCGGGACCCTGCCACCACCCCCTTACACCTTTGGTGACCCTGCGCCACCTCCCTGAGCGACGCCCCGACGCGTCCCTCCCTGTTTAAGGGCTGGAGCCAGGCGGGAGGGAGGGAGGAAGATGCCACCCTAATTACATCCCTCCTCATTATCCTCGGCAGATGCTCGCTGAGTCACGGCCACGCAGGTGCCGTACCCCGGGCGGGTCAGGCGTCCCGGAGCCCGGTGTCCCCATGGATCCACCCGGGGTGGCCACGCCACGCCAGCTGCCCCATGCCCACCTTTGCTGAAGGTTTAGGGGGGGCTCTTCTCCGTACAGCTCACTCCAAGGGGGGCAAAACCCAGTCCAACTCCCCTCACCATGAAGCTCTACTCCAGACCTTGCTGGCAACCACGACCACCCCTTTTTTGTGCCTTCCTGCCCCCCACACATCAATTTGTGTCTCCCCCCCCCCCCCCGCCGCTCCCTCCCTTAACCCTTCCTCTATTCTTTCCGTCCTGGACCTCGACTTCCCTCCCCAAATCTCTCCCTTCTTTACGGTCACCCTCAGTTCTCCTTCTCCATTCCCACAGCCCCCGCTGTCCCCGCAGCCTCCCCTCCCGGCACCCCCTTGCCGTGGGCCACCAGCCCCCCCGGCTTCACGTCCCCTTTAAGCCTCCCCAGGCTGGAATGCGAGAGGAGCATTTCAGCGCCCTGTGAGGTCAGATAGAGACACTATATTTATCTGGCTGGTAACCTGAGCCCTGAATTTCTGCGGTGGTGTTTTTACGTGGCCCCACAACCCTCGGGCTCGGCCCCCTCCGGCCACAGCGCTCCGTCCCGGGGTGGAGGGGCTGAGCCGGGGGTGTCCTGTCCCCTGCAAAGGGCTCGGCTGCTGCCCATCTCCACATCGCCCATCTCCGGTGCCAGGGGAAGCTCCCCACGGAGGCAGGATCAGCCCCGAGGGCATCCCCAAATGCCTGGCTGGTGGTCCCTCGCCGTGCCCTGAGCAGCCATCGGCCACCCGCGCCACATGCAGGTGAGTGCCGTGGGGACACCGCCCCGGGGAGGGGGACACGGGCACAGACAACGCTGCCCCTCCCTTCCTTCAGCTGGATAAGGGGGAGAGGTTTCTCTCCAGAGTTCAAGCACAAAATTCTGGCTTTGAGCCGCCCTCCCCAGCACCCTCCTCGTCCCCCGGCGCGGGCAGAGCCGCCTGCCCGAGGGTCCCTTCTTTTTTTGGCCACCCACAGACCTCAGAGCAGTAACTCATGCCCTGGCTCTTACGTCAGGGTCCCCCGTGGGTTTGGGGGTTGCTGCCTGGGGGCAGCAGGGTGGGGATGTGTCAGCAGCACGCAGCGAGGCCGGGGCGATGACTCCCGGTCATGTGCTGTGGGCTTGGAGGGTTCTCAGCCCCAGGGCTGGCAGGGGAAGGGCTGGTCCCGGCTGGATGAGTGACCTTGGGCATGGCCTGGCACTTTGGGGGGTGGGAGTGGTGGGGGGCTGTGGCAGAGGCACTGCAGTCCCCATCTGTCGACAAGGGTGACTCCAGTCCCTTCCAGGGAACAAACGTTTTGTGGCACATTCCCCCCGGGGCTGCTCGGGGTCACCCTTCCCGGAGGGAAATGGATACCTGGAGGGATTCTGTGCCTTGTTTCCCTTGGGGAATGGAGGGCAGGAGGCTGTCCCACCCTGCTGGCACGCTCAGCCGGACACAGAGCCCCTCAGCCCCAAACCACTCGTACTCTGGAGCATGCAAAGTGCCTCCCACAGGGTCCCCTCTCTGCCTCCGCCACTGCAGAGTCCTGAGAGCTCCCACGTAACCTCCAGGCTGGGACATTGTGTCTCAGGGGACAGGGGACACAGCTCCGAGCCTGCGTAAGCGAGAAGCAGCTGTGCTGTGACACCTTGGATGGAGCCAGCGCTGTGTAAGCTGAGCTGAGCCCGCTCTGGGGCTCCGTGGCCACCGAGGGGGACAGCTGCCACCGGGCACGGGCAGGACAGAGGGGACACCTGCCACTGGACACGGGCAGGACAACAGCTGGGGACAGAGCAGGGGCTCTGCTTCTCTGCCTCCAGAGTGAGGGTTCTGCCTCCTCACTTTGAGCTGAGCTTCCCACTGGGGAGGCTGCCGGTGCTGGAGGCCAGGGCAGGACTCCCCAGCACCCTGAGCAGCCCCATGGTGTCCCTCTCCCATGTCGTGGCACTGCTCCTGCCTGGCCGCGTGAACTCAGACCGGACATTCCTGTGCCTCAGCTTCCCCTGACACCCCGCGAGGATGATGAGGGTGCAGGAGGCCCTGACTCAGCCGTGCTGGCCCCAAGGCTTTGCCAGGCAGGAGGAAAGCTCAGCACAATGACGGGTAGGGAGGGGCCAGGCAGCCCAGGAAGCGCTGGGAGGAACCGGGGTTTTCTCACACCCCCTCAGCTCCTCTGGCTCCTGCCACGCTCCGCTCTCCCGCCGCCCTGGGGTCTGCTCGGATGTGACATGGGGACTTGGAAGCACAGGCAAGCCTGGCAGATGTGACATTCCTGCATGGTAAGGCCTCTCTTCCCAAGGAATGGGGTAGCTCCCGTGTCCGGGGCCAGTGCCTGCTCCTGACCCTGCATCCCTCCATCGGCTCCTCCGCATCCCCAGGGCAGGTGCTGCCCTGTGGAGACCTGTCCTGCTGCCAGGAGCACCTGCTGCCCTCCTGTTCCCGAGCTGCTGCTCTCCTGCTGCTGCTGGTGCCAGGACAAACCGTGGGCACCTGGCAGGGGATGATGGCGTGGGACTGTCCTGGCACTGTCCCAAGCCAAGATCATCTCTGCTGGCGAGGTGGGGAGCAGGGGCAGTCCGTGTGCCAGGCTGCCCCGTGCCCCAGCAGGGCAGGCAGCCAGGCATGTGCTCCCTGGGAGCCCAGGGGCTCTGTCATTCTCATCCTGGCACTCGAGTGCCAGTCCCTTGGCTGGGGTCCCACTCCCTCTGAGCGAAATTCCCCACTGCCTATGTCAAATCCTGACTGGCAGAGCCACGCTCCTGGTGAGGGCAGCCACAGCCAGGCTGGGAAGAGCCGGCTGTTTTGTGGAGCCCTTGCCTGGGAGCAGATTATTCACCCTTCAGCCTCCGTCCCCAAACAGGTCTGTGCGCTCCACCTCGCTGCTGCTTGTAAATATTTCCCTCTCTGCTGTGGGATGCTGCTCCCTGGGCAAGAACAGCAGAGCCAGGCTGCCAGGCAGGAGCCCACGGGGACTGGCTGCTGTCTCTCCTCACCCTCTCCTAAAGCATTCCCGGGTGTTTGCACGCTAACCCTGAGGGGCTCTGAGCAGGAGGAGGTGTCCCCCCAGGGCCAGGCAGGGAGTGACTCCCGGGGTCTCCTCTTGCCGGGATCCAGCTCCCGTCCCCAAGCCCGGCTGTGCCCTTGGTGCCGCTGGGGCCGTGCAAGGGACGGGGCAGGAGCAGGCTCCGGCACCTCCTGGCTTGGAGCCGGGCCAGAGCCCGCCCTGGCTGGGCTGGGAAAAGCCTTTGAATCAGGGTCATCTCCCGGGTGACTGGAGACTCTCAGAGCCACATGAGCCACTGTCCTGCCAGGGACGGGACACCAGTCACCCTGGGAGCTGAGCACCAGCAGCCAGGGCAGAGGAGCTCGGCTGGGGTCCTGCCTGCCCCAGAGCCACCCACATCCCAGGACAGGTAGGGATCCAGCCAGTGTGGGTGCTGAGGGTAAACTCTCCTCCAGCTCCTGGACAGTCTGTGTCTGGGGACTGCCAGCTGCCACGCTGCCCTGTCCCTGCTCCGGGTTGGCTCTGTGTGTGCTCTGGGGGCCTCCGTCCCTGTCTCTGTGTGTTCCTCTCCTGCCCTGTGCGGGAGCCACCAGCTCTCTGTGGGGACCGAGGGCTGGCTCTGCCCGGCTGGCAGGGGCATGGCTGCCACCTCACCAGGACAACTCTCGGCTTGAATTACTGATGGAGGCTCGTGGGGCACAGCCATGGCAGGGAGACAGAAAAGCTGCTCAGATGCTGACCTTGCCTCAGTTTCCCTCTCACTGAAATGTCAGCCTCATTGCCAAGCCCCAGCGCTCCCTGTTAGTAACCAGGGGAAAGTGCTGGGCTGGCTGGATCAGTCCATCCCACCTGCCTGTCTCAGCCAGAGCTGGGCCTGAGCACCATCCTGTGACCAGGCCTCCTGGAGGAGGCACTGGAGAGTGCCTCACTCCAGCCCCAAGAGTGGGACAGCCACGGGATGGTGTAGCAGGGATGCCAGGGCTGGGACAGAGGTGACTGCTGCAGTTCCTTGGTGTCTGTGGAGATGTTGGGTGCATCTGGCTGTGCCCTGGGGCTCCCTTCTGTGGTATGAGGTGTCTGGGAGCATGGGGTGGCAGTGCCAGCCGGGTCCTGCTGTCCCAGGCTCTCCAGGAAGGCTGGTAGGTGGCAGGAGCCATGGCCACACTGTGACCAACAGCCCCTGGATCCCCTTCTGTCTCCCAGGATCGCCAGGCGAGGCAGGAGCTGCTGGGTGGGAGCTG